TCACTTTTTTTTTAATCATATTGCAAAAAATGAATTACAGTTCCTGTGAAGTTCATTATTCAGACTTTGGCTGAATTTCTATAGTTAATCCTCAACAAAGGAAAAAAAATCATCTGATAACATTACCCATAATTACCTTTTTTGGTGTTCAGTTAAGTGGCCAATACAGAACATCCTTTTTTTTTAGTTGTAGATGTAGAACGTTTGCTTTATTTAGCAAAGACTTATTCTCAAAACTTAGAAAACCGAGAATATTAGAGGAAATACTGTGGAAGGAAGTGTGGTTATGGGTGAATGGCTGACTTACAGGATTTTCATTTTTACTGAGACTTAAATATTTCCCTTTGAGAGTTTTAGCAGATAAGAGCATGAATTCCAGTCACAACCCTGTGACTTTGGGCAAGTTACCAAAAATGCCTTGCCATTTACTTATTTACGGAAATGGGGCTGGTTATACCTACGAGAGTTAATTTGAATATTAAATGAGATAACATATGCAGAAAACAACCTGTGATAGATGGTTCGTAAATGGTTTCCATTCTTTATCCTTCCAGGGAAGTAGGAGAAGATCCCCATGTAATCTAGTTCTCAGCTCTGATGCTTCTCACATTGTAAGTAGGTGGCAAATCTCCCTTGGTAAGAGCATTTTTAACTTTGCATTATTATTATGTTATTTGTATTGTTTCTGTTATTGATATTTTGTTTGGCATGGGTAATATATTTACATAGTTCAGAAAGCTAATGTAACAAGGTACAAATTGAGAAGACTTGCTCCCATCCTTGTCCCTGTCAACTTGCTAAGTAACCTCCTTTATTTTCTTCTGTCCAGATACAAGCAAACTTTTTCTGTTTTTGTACAAAAGATACCATACTTTATGTACATTTTGCTCTTTGCTTTCTTCATTTTACAGTATATCCTCTCTTTTCATATTAGGACATGGAGTATTTCCTTGTTCATGTGTGTGTGTGTGTATGTATGTGTGTGTGTGTGTATGTGTATGTATGTATTAGAGCTCCAGAGTGTTCCATTGTAAGAATGTACCATGGTTTACTTAACCAGTCCCCATATTCATGGACATTTGGTTTGTTTCCACATTTTTGCTACTGCAAATAGTGCTTCTTTGTATAATCTTGTATATACAAGGTTGGATAAATTTCCAGAAATGGGATTGTTGGGTTAAAAGATAAATGCATTTATAAATTTTATTAACATTATAAATTGCTCTCCATGAGGTTTGTACCATTTGCCTACATTGGCATATATTTATTTTTTTGTGTTGCAGACAGCTGTCACTCCCTCCCTCATACCTTCTTTTGAGCTGACATCTTGTTACATTGGAGGGAGCCGTACAAGTGAAGGAAATCCCTTCTCACATTTCCTCAGTGGTGCTGGGCTGTTTAGTATTTTCCAAGCCGAATTGCTAGGGCACAGGGTTGTGTAGTGTGAGACTAGGCATTTTGCCCGTCCTGATTCGCTGTTGTCCCTGTCTTGGGATCTGAAGATGGAATGGCTGGGTGTATTGTGCACCTGAGGCACCAAGTGGGTCTAGGAGGACAGTCTTGCTCTGTACATAAAATATTATTGACTGTTGTTTCTCTTCCTTGGAAATTATTTTTTAAAGAAGTTATGTTCACAGCTTTTTGTAAAAGTTATTCTTATTTGTTGAAGATTTAGAATCCAGAGAAAAGAATAAAAACCACTTGGAATCCCACAATCATTGTTAATATTTTGATGAATATCTTCTTAATCTTATGTGTGCATCCCCAGCATAAATGGTGATCATACATTGCATGATGTTGTATAACCTTTCTTTTATTTATTATTCTGTCTTCCAGTAATCATATACACATACGTTTATGTGTGTGCGTGTATGTATGTATGAATTCTGTTGGATTTCATCATGATTCTATGTTCCTAGATGAGAATTTAAGATTGCTTTGTTAGTCATTTTAAACAACCCTTTGATGAGGATCTTCGTAGCTAAGTCTTCTATATAATTGTTATTTCTCTAGAATGAATTCCTAGAAGTGGAACTGCTGGGTCAAAGGACATGTACAAATTACTCTTCGAAAATGACATGTCGTTTATATTTCTAGAGTACTTTCTTCATCACATTTAATCGATTTTTGGATATCATAATTTTTAAAACTTTGCCAATATGTTAGTAAAATATGCTAGTTCTATATTTTCCTCTATAGATATTTTATTATTATTTAAATTTTTTTTCATATTTGAGAACTCGTTTTCTTTGTAAATTGCCTTGTCAAGCCTTTGCCCATTTTATTATTGGTATGTTGGTATTTTTCTTTTTGATTTTTTAAAGCTGGATATGTTAAAGATATTAACTTTTTGTCATATATGGTACAAATATTTTTCTTCAGGTCACTCACTGATATATTCAGGGTCTTTTGATGTTGAAGTTTTAAATTTTAATGTACTCCAATCTATCAAACATTTCTTTATAATATTTCCTCTTTTGATGTCATGTTGGAGAGATCTTTTGACTTGCGTAATTGTATAAATATTTATTTACATTTAATATTTTGCATATTTGTTATTTTTAAATGATGGGGCATTTATTCTAGTATATGGTATAAGATGAATACTAACTTTCTGAATATTTTTTCTAACTGATTGTCCAATTGTTCCACCACAGAAGAATTATTCTTCCCACCGATTTGAAATCTGTGTCTTTAAAAATTGTTTTGTTTTCTTAAACACACTTGAAAATTTATACTAATACTTTATAGAAAGGGCATTAGAGCTCTGGACTGTGTTCAGGCTTTTGGTGCCAGACCGGTATTGAAGAGGTAGCTTAACCTCTCTTTGACTTGATTTCTTCTGTGAATTATGTCTGACCATTCAGTGGAGTTGTTAATGAGAATCTGACAAGATAAGTAATATAAATTATGAAGTTCTATATAGAGAGTAAGGGTTTGTAATGCTACTAATTAGGAGAGGTCCAGGTATTCCTGAAGCCCTATAACCACAGTTAAAACCAGGAACACAACATAATAAAATGTAACATTTTATTTCAGAGGAATTAGAAAAATCAACAAAATAGCTTCACTGGCTTTTGAGTAATTTCCCATTAGTCAAATATAAAATAGCCAGATTTTTATCTTGGTAGGGATTAGATACAGTATTTCTTAATTTTAAAAAATAGAAAAGCAAATATAATGCTTCACTTTTCACATATTCATCATTTGGTCATTTTCTTTTCTAAAAATTGAGACAGTTAATTTATTTTGAACAAGAAAGTGGTATAAGAAATTGAAAGTGTGCCCCATAGTAAGAGAGGTTCTTCCCGTTTCACTCCATACTCTGAGGTAAAATTTTGGCAAGAAAAATGTCTTCTATTTGGTTATGTTATCTACTATTACTCCTCAGGCAGGCATGGCATTGACTGATAGCTGGCTAATGTCTAAGAATCATGTTCAGATAGAGCATGCTAAATAGTTCCATTTTGGGATTAAATTTGAGATTAAACTTCATTTGGGTTAAAATCGAATCGAATGTGTATACTAACACAGGGCTACCAACCCACTATTCTTGATTTAATTAAAATGAATGTGATTTGTCCCCATTTTCTTAGTTCCTTCCAGCTAAAAATTAGTTTTCTTGTTCCTTTCACTAAAAAATATCCTGATAAAATAGGCTTGCAAAGGAAAGCTAACCTAGCTTTGAATCTACAATAAAAAAAACCTGAAGAGTAAAAGATTAATTTTCTGCTTAGTTATGTTTAGGATCTTTACAAGTAATATATTTATCTCTAGAGAGCACCACTCTGCTGCCTGTGCCAAAAATTTTATGTGCTGTTCTTGAGGTCAAAATGATTCATACTGGTTCTCTAGTAAACATCTGGAAGAAAAGAACATAGTTTTTTTCTTTTTTCAATTCAATATAAAGTGCTAATAAATTCCTGTAGAAGTGTTAGCATGTCTTCTTTCTCCATGAACATTTAGATCCACTTGTCCTCTTTATCTCATATCAAAATCACTTCCATTTTGATATATCAAATTTCATCATTCATGTTCATCATAAAACATCTTAATTTTTTTTTCTAATTTGGTAGTTTATCTTTGCATATAGTTATGTTCATCTAGGAGTAGTTTCTCTCTTTTTTGATTTTGTCTATCCTGGATCATTACCGTATTTGTCAGAAACTTGTTTCCAGTAAAAGACACCAAGCTGACATAGTTGCTCCAGACAGACCGGACTTTAGTTGGTAGAGCTTCCTCGGTCCATACCACACCTCCATCATCTTTCCTGCCTTGCCTGGAGAATTGCCTGCAAATCCCAGGTGGCACTGATGTGAAAACGTTGACGTCAGATACTTCATTTGGTCTTTAGATTTGACACTGCCGCTAAACTTACAGTCAGGTATCTGGAGTCTTGTTGGGAATCTGATAGTAACTGACTTTGAGACCATAGTTAAATCATCTCATGCCACTGAGCTTTGTTTTTTTCATCTTTAATCCTTTGTAGGAGTTTGAATGTAGTGTCACAGCTCTGAGGCCTTTACACTTTTCAGTCCCAGTTTCTCTGGTAGGAGAAGCAGAAGACTTTGGAAGGAGGCCTTTTTTTTTCGCATTCTAACTATGGAAAATTTGAAATAATTATCGACTTACTTAATTTTTTTGTCCCTAAAATACAAGACAAATGATCTTCTTTATTTTACCTTTTATTTCTGAGATCATTATCAGAGTAATAAGCTGATAAGCCTCAATGAAAGCCCCAAATGAAAGACTTCCAGTAATGTTGCATTCTATATTTTAAAATGTTTCCAGAATTCAGGAATGAATTTTTTTTCCCCAGATGTGGATGCAAGTTACAGTAAAGTGACTCTTTTGAACCCTTAGATATAAATCATTTTGGGATAACCAAGTTTTCTAGATGAGTGAGAGCTTATTTTTATAATCACCACATTTTAAAAACTTTGATGAAAAAGTTTGAAATATATTTACTATGTCTATACACTAAGTACAATTTATTTTTCTTTGTTAATCAGGTTCTATTATGAGCATACATTTTTATGCTAAGCACGGTGCCGTAGGGGCATAACATGGTTTGGAGTAGAAAGTCCCAGGTTTAAATTTGTTTTGCCACTTATTGACTCTGTTGCACTGGAACAACAAACTCCTTTCCTCATTTTTTAAGAAATTGAGCGTGAAAAACTTGGTATAAAATAGATCTTCCATAAATGGTAGCTCTTATGATTATTATGATAGGAATGTCCTGATGAGTTGTATATACACAACACACATGCAGTGTCTTTGTTTCATACTAGAGAGCTTTGGACTAGAATTCTTGTGCTTTCTATAGTTTTTCTATCAACTTGTCTCTTTTCACTTCTTGTAGTGACTTTTTAAAAAATTTTATTTTATTAGTTTCAAGTCTACAGTAATTGGTTAGACATTTATATAGTTTATAATACGATCCTCCTAATTTCTCTATCTCCCCTCTGGTTCGACATCTAGCTATTACATTAATGCTGACTGCATTCTCTATGCTGTGTTCTGCATCCCCTTGACCATCTATCAACTACTAATTTGTACTTCTTTAACCCTTCACCCCATTGTCCCAGCCTCCCAACCCCTCTCCCCTCTG